GTCCTCGACATTTTGATCTTGTTGGATGACATTTTGGAGTACCATATCGGTGACGTATCGGATTCTATTTCGGTGACCTACCGGTGCTGTCTACCTCCCCCCACCTCCTTCGTCTCTCCTCCCACCTTTCATCTGTGTATGTGTGTACAGGATCTGGGCATCGTCCATGCTTGGCCCAGACCCCACCATCTCACGATTGTGTGTGTGTGGAGTGATTCTTGAGTCAGTCTATGTGAGTCAGTCAGTTTATCAGACTTCCGCTGCATATATGCTCATCCTACATTGGTTGATCTTTGGTTCTGCCCATACTCCTTGAAGTATGTAACAGTTTTGGTATCGGAGCAGACCAATTACAGATCTGCTCACCAGGTTAGACTGATTTAGGAATTAGATTGTTCTTCAATCTTGCAAATCAGCGCTGAATTACGATCAAGTTCAAAGTTGCAATTTTTTTTTTTTTTCGGTATTCTATTTATTTTGGCATTTCCGTTTCAATTCGGTATTCGGACTTATAATTCGGATTTCTGTTTTCTCCCGGTATGCTGTTTATTTGGGTTCCGATTGAGTGACACTAATCCGATAATTGGTTAAGATTCGGATTTCTGATTGTACACGTATTAGGGTTGAATCAGTATCATGCTGAAATTAGGCTTTTCTGCTTTCCATTCAGCATTCCGTTTTTCGGCATTCTGTTGTAAATCCTATATTTCGTTTTCTTTTGGATTTCCGTTGTCTTTCAGTATTGGAAATTAGGGTTATGAAAATCTTTTGGTTTTAGATCAACTTGGGGAAATTCGAACGTTTTGGGAACGTAAATCCGGAAATTCCCCCTTAACGCGGAAAATTAGGGTTGGGACCGAAATTTTCGCGAAATGTTTTTCGTTCCCCTTGTTTGAGAAATTCCGAAAACAGGTTTTGGCCTTTAAAAATCGGATTTTGACGGTGGAAATTCCCAAAAATTCACGTTTTTGAAAATTCGAGTGTTTTTCCCTAACTTTTTCCGAATTTTTTGTTTTGGCAAACTAATCCGAAGCTAACCCTCAAAGTTGCAACTTCCGGGTAGTTCACTCATTAACGGTGAATTCCCGGACCGTATGTGATCTCAAAGGGACCTAATCTTGATACAATTCAAATTCGTTCATTACCATTATTGCAAATATTGCTTATTGATTATATTTATTGCAAATATTGGTTCTTGATTATCTTTATTACAAACATTGTTTTCTTGATTATCATTAAGAATTATTATTTCGTTATTTGTCATTAATTAAGCTTTATTGATTAAATAATTCGTTAATTTTATTTCTTATTACGATTTTTTTTGAATTGTTTACGGGAAATTTATTTTTCTGTTTTGGATTAGGTGTCTACAGTCCATCAGTGGGACAGGGGACTGCATGTGTATTGTTTGATTGTTCTACCCCTATGCCCACTCTCTCTCTCTCTACCCTCCCCGTAATCTGTGACCACCGGGACTTCTCAACTACCACATCAGTTCAGACTGATGTCGATGGAACAGGACACCGGGGCACTGCCACGACGCAGTGCCAGGCTTGCAGTTCGTAGACGCTCGGTGTTACCTCCACGAAACAAGGCTCAGCAACAACGCCTCAGCAAGCGGAAGACTTCAACAGCATCAAGTACAGCAATGACAGTACCAGTGACCACCGCGATTCTTCCCGCATGCCCGGTCCAAGGGGCCGGTGAGCCGTTGGCAGCTTACCTTCAGCAGGTACAGGCATTCACAATGTCGTGGCTACCGCAAAGGCACAAGAGGAGGCAGCAGAAACTGAACGTCAGCGGCTGGCGAATGAGGCAACAGCCCAAGCTCAGCAGACTGCTGAGGCTGACGCAGCGGCACGAGACCGGCGGAATGCCACCAGCACGGAGTCCTTGATCGCTTGTGAGCATCAATGGACAATGATACTCCAAGGCATGTTCTTTGTGCCTACGGAAACGCAGGCGGAGCCAACGCAGGCGGAGCCAACACAGGCGGAGGCAGAGAGAAGTAACCTGGCTACCGTGATGTTGAACGTAATGAGGGGAGTAATGTGGAACAACAAACTGCTGCAGGCACACCTGCACGCGGAACGATAGCAAAGACAGCAGTACCAGCAAGACCTGGCCGCTGTAACGGCTGCCGTCCGCAATGCAGAAACGCAGCAGCAGCAACAGCAACAGCTGTTGAACTCTACCATCGCACGCATCAACGGCATTGAGGCCAAGGCCTCAGCAGCGCCAGGCTGCACGACAGACGAGACGAAGCAGCTCAATGGGCGCATCGATCATGTCGTCAAACTCATCGGCGATATAGGTGTTTTCAATGGGCCGGACACGATCAGTAGCACGGTGGCCGCCATCAAGACGGACATCACCAAGCTGCAGATGAGACCGGACGCCGCTACGAAGACTTACAAGATGCCGCACTTCGACATCAGCAAGTTCGACGACTACAACAAGTCGGACGCCTTGACATGGTGGCAACGTTTCGTCACGGAAGCATCATGCCGCACTGTCCCAGCGGACGACATGATGAAGGCGCTCTATTTGCAACTGATTGGAGGAGCGTAGGCATGGATGAACCATCTGGCGGCTACCAACAAATGCACCATCGCCGAACTCCACACGCACATCACGTGGAAAGAGTTCGAGAAGCTATGGCTCACCCGGTTCATGGTTCGCAACGTCGTGAAGGCAGCCATGAACGAGGTGTACGCCTGCTCTCAAGGTAGTATGCCAACTCAAGACTGGACAACTAAGTGGCAAAAGATAGTGACCACGCCAGGCTTCGATTTTGAGTTTTACCAATCAACGATCCGAGTTTTTCTCGCGATCGTGCGCAGGACAGCGATCGGCACTCGGCAACGAGTACGATTACGATTCATTCCAGGCCATTCTGGATCGTGCAAACTTGGTCATCCAAATGGATGACAAGGCCGCAAACGAACGGCAGTCCCAGCCGCATTATGTGGCTAAGCATGGCTATCAACGTCCGACACACAACAATGCCGTGATTTCTGAAGAAACAGACGATCTCCACGCTGCAGCAGCATCCTCGAGTGATGGAGGAATTGTAGCAGCGCTCCCGCCGAAGCGTCCCAAGAGAGTTCGGAAGAACAAGGCGACACAAGAGACGACATCGACGGGAATTGGGCAGCAGCCATGGACGGCTTACAAGATAACCAAGGATGTCTATGACCTTCGTCAAAAGTACGGATACTGCCTTTGGTGCAACGGCGTCACTCATGTGACCGCACAGTGCCCCGAAAAGGACAAGGCACGCGTACCCCGTCCAGCAAACTTGGGAAACTTAGTTACGCAAGGAGAGAGGCGACGCCTCTCCTCACTCCGCCGGAACCGGTTGCCTTGCTAGCAATCGATGTCACTACCAGGGAGCATGCGTTAGCCGCTGATTCTCGTGCCACGTACGAGGATTATGCTGCCCAGCTGGTACCACCACTAGACCAGCCAAGCCACGTGCACTTAGATTGCGTATGCGCAGCCTGTACACCGTCGGCAAGTGATCCGGTCAGTTCGCCACTGATTTCCGAGGACTCGAYGGCGTGGTCAAGACTTGAGGAGCTTGACCCGCTCACGAGAGAGGACTTCGCTTGGATGCCTCTACCCTCGACCGGAACCTTGCCAAGGCCGCATTGCAACGCCTTGATGGCAACTCTACGCTCCTATTTGCACGCTACAGTACCAACTCCGTTGATGGACGACGGAGTAGCGGTTGTCGATCTCCGCTCCTATCTTGCGAAGATTGACCGCGAGTACGCCAACCAAAGGTACGCCGAAACCGACGCGCCTTTGCTCTATATCCGCATTCAGATCGGAAAGGCAACCTGTAGTGCCTTGATTGATTGCGGAGCGTCTCGCAACTTTGTGAGCCAAGCCTTTATGGCCCGCGCAGGTCTTGGCCCGCGCGTTCGAAGGAAGGCGCAACCTACGCAAGTTACACTCGCGGACGGCCGCACGCAAAAGTCAATTGACCGATGCGTCGATGGCGTTCCGGTATACTTTGCGCCACTTGCGTGCGAGCCGGTGTCTTTTGACATCCTCGACACCAAGTTCGACATGATTCTAGACATGTCTTGCTTGCGTAGCGCCGATCATCCGATGAACTTCCATGACCGAACCGTTCACATCCATGATCGGAACGGAGTGTTAGTCCCATGTACAGTCGCGACCCCTCACACTTCGATTGCTTGTCACGTGGTTTCCGTTGCGAGAATTCGCGACGTCATTGCTCGGAATGACGTCGAGGAGATGAGCCTTATATTCTTGCATGCTCTCCCCTCACCGGACGGACCAGCCGCGTCACCGCCGGACCCACGCATTTCTCACCTCTTGGACAAGTATGGAGACGTCTTCGAGGCTCCCACCGGAACGGTTCCGGATCGGCCCATACGTCACGGGATCACTCTCGAGGCTGGCGCCGTCCTTCCGCGTGGATGTATCTACCGCATGAGCGAAGAGGAACTCGAGGTGCTTCGCGCACAACTCGATGACCTTCTCGACAAGGGCTGGATTCGCCCTAGTTGCTCGCCATACGGTGCCCCTGATCTCTTCGTCCGGAAGAAGAACAAAGATCTACGGTTATGCATCGATTATCGGAAACTTAACGCACAAACCGTAAAGAACGCCGGCCCTCTCCCTCGGATTGATGATCTCCTTGAGCGGTTAGGCGGCGCGACGTACTTGTCGAAGTTGGACTTGAAGTCAGGTTACCACCAGATTGAAATCCAGCCTCAAGACCGGTACAAGACCGCGTTCAAGACGCGGTACGGGCATTTTGAGTGGGTTGTCATGCCTTTTGGCCTCACCAATGCCCCCGCAACTTTTCAAGCAACTATGACGACTGAGTTTCGCGACTTACTCGATCGTAGCTTCCTCATCTAGCTCGATGACATCTTGGTCTATAGCAGGACGTTGGACGAGCACATCACACACCTTCGTGCTGTTTTGAATYGTTTACGACTGGCCAAGTACAAAGCGAACCACGACAAGTGCGAGTTCGCCAAGCAAGAGTTTGAGTATTTGGGCCACTATGTTACGCCAAAAGGCATTCGTCCCTTAGYGGACAAGATCCAAGCCATCGTGGATTGGCCGGAACCCCGTTGTACGACGGACGTACGCTCTTTCATGGGATTGGCTGGATATTATCAGCGATTCGTCGAGTCATACTCGAAAGTGGCAGCTCCTTTGTCGAGACTCCAGTCCCCGAAGGTGCCCTTCGAGTTCGACGACGCTGCCCGTGGCGCGTTCACTACGTTGAAGGCAGCAATGCAAGCCGCACCTGCCCTCCATATATACGACCCCACCCTACCCACCCAAGTGATTACGGACGCGTTGAGATACGGTATTGGTGCGGTGTTGGAACAGTGTCACGAGGACGGTTGGCATCCGGTTGAGTATTTCTCCCAAAAGGTGTCTCTCGTCAACACTCTCGACGACGCTAGGAAGAAAGAGCTACTCTCGTTCGTCACTGTTCTCAAACGGTGGCGCCACTTTTTTCTCGGCCGTCGGCGTTTTAAATGGAATACGGACAACAATCCGTTGACCTTTTACAAAACGCAGGACACGGTCACTAGCACGATCGGTCGATGGATGTATTACATCGACCAGTTCGATTTTGMCCCGTGCCACATTCCCGGTCCCGCCAATCGAGTTGCGGACGCCCTCTCACGACGRCCCGACTTTTGTGCCATTGTGACCACGGCATTCGACCTCGATGACGATCTGCAACCGCAGTTCGTCAAAGGCTACAAGTCCGATCCGACTTACTCTACGCTATATGCAGAGCTCTCATCGGATCACCCGCCGGCTAGCCACTGACGGGTTCCTTCTCCTTCACACGAGAGGAAAGGACTTGTCAGTTGTGCCCCAAGATCGCACCTTACGGACTCGTCTTCTCGGTGAATTCCACGACGCACGACTTTCGGCACACCTTGGCGTGAATCGCACAGTAGCACGCCTCCGCCAGCGTTTTCACAGGCCCGACGTCCTTCATGACGTCACGAGGTACGTGGAGTCATGTGCAGTTTGCCACCGTAACAAGGGTCGATCTCGAGTCCCTTTCGGCGAACTGAAACCGTTGCCGATTCATCGGGCACCGCGCCTCTCCATTGCTATAGACGTGACAGGCCCGTTTCCCCGCGATCGCCACGGCCATGACGGTATTCTCACTATAGTTGACCGTTTGAGCAAGTATGCTCGCTTCCTTCCTTCCAAGTATCATGCTGCAGCACCCTAGCTCGCACGACTCTTGCACACCGGTTGGATTACCAACCAATGTGTTTCGGAAGACATAGTGAGCGACCGAGATACTCGCTTCATGTCAACCTTTTGGACTTCCCTCATGGCTGAGTCCGGTACGACAATGAAGCCGAGCTCGGCTCGGCACCCGCAAACGGATGGCCAGACGGAGCCAGCGCACCAGACCGCCCAGATGATGTTGCGTACGCTCATCCGTTCCGACCAGAAAAATTGGGTTGACCGGCTTCCCGACATCGAGTTCGCCTAYAACACTTCGGTGCACCCGGCGATCTGCGTCACACCATTCGAGCTACATCATGGTGGAGAGAAAAGCACGGATCTTCGCTGATCTCCTTCTTCCACAGGCTGCCGACATAGACGTCCCTTGCTCTCCCGCTTCCGTTCGGAAGTACCGGGACTTGCTGATCAAAGCCCGCGCAAATATGCAAAAGGCTCAGATCCGCATGCAGCAGCAGGCTAACCAATGTCGACTTCCATGTCCTTTCCGTGAGGGAGACCTTGTTTGGGTCCTCTCCTAGGAATTTGAGCTCGCGCAGGACGTTTCGCACAAACTCCTTCTGAAATGGTTCGGACCATGGGAAGTCACTTCTGCCGTTGGAGACAACCCCGCAGGTCCTTCCTTCGTGATCAACATTCCACTGCACCTTACAGTGCATCGGGTCTTCCACGCATCGAAGCTGGCCATCTACACGCCACCTTCAGTTGACGAGTTTCCCGGACGTCGATCACAGGATCCGCCTTCTATGGACGGACATCAGGAAGTGGACCGAGTCATCATGCACCGCAAGTATGGCAACAAGCCAATGCAGTACAAGGTCACATTCAAGCAATGTGCGCCTGACGACACTCRGTGGATCTCTAGTGCAGACTTGCAGASTTCTGCACCCCTCATCTTCGCCAACTATGAGAAGACACGACTTGCCAAGGCAGCAGCTCGTCCCACCCGACCCATCCCGGTATCGGACAGACAACTCTGCCCTCGCAGGTAGCTCGGTCTTTTAAGAGGGGGAGTGTGTTACATCTT